GGGAAGGAAAGTCTCACCTGTGGGAAGGTGGGGAGAGGCTTCCTCCTCTGCACAGGCATTTCACGAGCTCTGCGCAGGGGCAGCGCGCTCCTGCAAGCAATGCTGGGTTATGAGCCGGGCTAGCAGGTACACTGCTGCTGGAAGGGACGGCCAGGAGAGGCTCCGTATCCACGTCCTGAGCTTACCCCAACCAGTCGCCCCTCGCCATGGGCAGTGAAAGCTTCCTGAGGCTTCTCTTGTTTACATATGGGACATCTTGGGGCAAAGCGGGGTGGGCACAGGAAAAAAGATGGACTGGTGTGTCATGTGCATTTGGTGTCTGCTTCTGCTGAGCCCTCCCTGCTTGTGCTAGAGCTGGACGGGTCAGATGGCCACGTTTTTCAAAACACGATTTCAAGCCTAGATTCCCTATGAGCTCATGAGTGGACTTGGGTCTTCAAAACACGATTTCAAGCCTAGATTCCCTGTGAACTTATGGGTCTCCAAAGCCCATCTGCCGCTTGCACACAACTGTGCCTCTGCTTCCTACCTGGAGTTGTGAGCTGCCACATTTCACACCAGAATCAGTTGCGTTCCTGGGAAGGGAGAGCTCCCCACAACATGCTCAGGGGTCCTGGCAAGTATCACTGGATAAACAAGGTCCTGTACCCCCTACTTTTCCTGGGCAAACGCAGCCTGCTCTGGAAAGAAGCAGAATTGCTCCTCTAGACTGCAAACAGAGCATCCTCCTGCACCATCACTTTGCCTACCCCTAACTGCTGCCTGGTGAGGTGTAAGGGGCACACGTTCCTCTTGTGCGCTGTTGTGTGGTTCACGTGGCTGCTGTGGGATAGCGAGGACTTGCCACATCCTCAAAGACCTCTGGGAACGACGCTGCTCTGCAGTGCATTGTGTTCCCATACACAGGGATGACAGGGGGGTTGTCTCCTGTCTTGGTGGAGTGTCTGCTGGAAGCAGAAGAGCCGTCGTGAGCCACGAGGCTGAGCACAGTCTCCCACCCCGCTGAGCCGCACCAGACTACAGGGGAGGGACTCGTGTTCTCACGGGCAGACCTGTGCCAAGGAGCTCTCACGTTCCCCATCAGCCCTTCCTTCGCCAGGAGGGGAGGCAGAGCTGCAGCCTCAGCACCAGCAAGGGTGGGGCACGGTGGAGCGATGTGGTGGTTCCAGCCGCGGAAAGCTGAGGTAATCCTGGAGGTGCGGATCAGCGTGACTGCCTTAAAGCTAAGGCTGGTTTGCACAGCCAGATAGCCTACTCCAAAATCCTCTGGATTCACTTGCAAGGAATTTATCAGGCTGGAGGAGGTTGCATTCAGCAGCGGGCTCAGAATTTGCTGCTTTAGTGCGGCACAAGAAGGAGGAGCAGCAGCAGTGCAGGGAAATGGGAGGCTCCTCAACACCTGTAGGCACTGTTCCCTGCTCCTGGATTTGAATATACCTCCCGTTTACTCCAACCCA